TTTGCCCATAGCACGTAACAACAACGTTACAAACAAGTCTTACAAATCACAAAGCAGCGCACGTCAGGATTATCTATCCTAATTTGCTGCACTGCGGTTAATCTCAGTTTATACTACTCCATTGCCAGTGACACTAATTACCAAAAATAAAAAAAAAAAACAGGTGAAATTAAGAAAACTTTAAATAAATCAAAAAATTATTCAACTGCAGATGAGACTGCCGATGAAAAAACAAACCCTGACCTTTAAAAATACCTCATTCATAGTACGTCATTACCGAGGAACGCCACCCTAAGGCGACGTAACGCATGTAGTGACATCACAACCGATGCATGCTGGGTTACAACGGAGATTTTGATTGAGGTATAAACAAAGATGGCAGCGCAGAGTGCATGTTTTTCCGCGATGTTTAATTAAAAACATCGTTGGCGATTTTGATGTAATTTCTAAAATAATCATTAATTAACCGTTTTAATTAACAAAACATTTTAAATTTGTGTATTTTGTCACCAAAAAGTCAGATACTATAAAAGGGTTAATTATTCACTGGGTTTTAATTTTGCTTATTTCGCTGACTGGAAAAATGCGCTAAATTAAAACACAGTGAATATGTAAAGTTTAGCATAGAACACATTATCTAAATGACAAAACCGTGAATTTAAAACCCACTGAATATGCCTGAAATGGTAAATCAGTGAAATTTAAACCCAGTGAAAATTAGTCATTTTACAGTAGCAATGATCGCAACAGCAGCTGACAATGTTACGATGATCATATCGCTACGCATGAGGTATAAGGTCAATAAAAAATCACATACTTTAGTTTTGAAATGTTGTTATTATTGATTTATTAATTTCATCATATTTTGATAACTCGCAATCTCACAGACTTTTAACCATTTTAACTAAAACATGGGCACTAAACTGACTGTACTTGTACACAAAATAATGATGCAACAGTTATCCTCCATGGATAACAATATATTTACTGACTGGCTATAAGTATTTCTATTTTTTGTTTGCTGCCATATACACACATAAAATACAATGAAGTAAAATGATATATTTTTTTATTTATTTATTAACACTTACTCACTCCCCGGAGAGAGTCGCAATGGTTACAGATATTAGTAAAAGTATACAGAATTAATACACTAATAAGGAATAAAAAAAAAAAAAAAATAAACTAATCTACAAAAACAGAATATTAATGAAGAAAAAAAAAATAAAACAACTCCTTCAATTCTATAATATAAAAGATATAAAAAATATTTCTTCTTTATTGTAGTTATTGTATCACAGTGCATGTTTAATGCCAAATTAAAATTAAATTAACCCAAATAAGTTCATAAAAAGTCACCTGCACACACCTATTGATACATACCTCTCACCGATCACAGTAAATTTGGTTTCCGTACTTCACATAATATGTAATTTTCAATCAAGTGCAGCAGCCAAAATAGCCTTGTTTCTCGGTTACCAGGGTTCTCCCCAGAAAAAATGCATAGCGCCGGGGCTAATTTGCATAATAATTTGCATATCATTTACATATCTTTCCTTCATTGATTAACAGAACTTATTTACAATTATGAATATTAGTGAGCTCAGTCACAGGGCAAATATTTTTTTTAATGGAATCAACACATTATTTTTCACAATTTAGAAGAGTTTGAAACATTCTCGAAATACAAATGCTACAGACTAAAAACAAACACAAATACATTATTGTTGCAATTTAATTGTTTTGTAAAACGTTGAAGGAAACGCATTCAAAACGTTAAGCCAGATTTATGTTCACGAATCTCATAATTTTATTCACTCCAAAAACAGTCTCCTTCAAAAAATCGATCACGTAATTAATTGACGTATTGTTGTAATTTATTATTCGTACCATCAACTTCTAAAACGTTTACAATTACAGTAATGAGCGAACAAATAAGGCTTCAAAACGATCATCAAAGTTACTACGTGACA